TTCTGACTAGCTGTAAAATCCCAGAGGCATGGAAAAAAAAAATATCTAAAATAGCTCATCATGATATTATATATAGTAAATTGCCATACCGAAGAATACTGTAAACACAAAATATCACGAGTAAGCATAACCAATTCAAACACAAAATATCACGAGTAAGCATAACCAATTCAAACACAAAACATCACTAGTAAGCATAAATAGCACAAGCACCAATTGGGTGACCAAAAACTTCAATAAAATGCGACAGATTGTCCGAATAACAAATAAAGGCCAAAATTAGAGAGTGATTACATGATTCTGATTTATTTTCTGTACAATGAATGAACATATTAAAATAAGAAGGTTTATAGGATAACACTTGTGACTCTGGAGGGGAAAGAAAAAGCCAAAAATGGATCCACAAGAAACTGAACATTCTGATGCACAGTGTTCCCAAATTCAAGCATTTCAATGAACCACTAGGATTAGGTTTTGGTATAAACTATATAAAAGTCTATAGGGGTTGTTTTGATTGTTTAGAGGTGGTTTAATTCAAAACCACAGCAGTGTTTAATGTACCCAAATTAAGAGAACACATACAATTATAATGAGAAGGAGAGACAGAAGAAGAGAGGAGATTAAAAAGAAAATGTACAATAATATGAGGCATTCACACACACGGAGAAGAATTTCAAAGCAGCAGATCTCATATTCACTGATTGCAAAAGAATATAACGACCCTTCTTCTTGTAGTATCCTTTCAATGGTTCCTTAAATATGCTCGTTTCCAAATAATTTGCAATTTACTATTTGGAAAAAAAAAAAAAAAAACAAAAAAATTTCAGTTTCACAGGGAAAGATAAATGAACTGGCCATGGATCTGTCTTCACAATTTCGTGCTGAGTGATTGGTGAAAAGCTAAACGTACTTCAATTAGCCATCTACAACACAAAATTGATAGATAACATTTGTTCAGGAAAGAAATCGTAACCTTTGAACAAGAGCCCGTTTCAAGATTCGCAATGCAATAAGATGCAAATAAATGATTCCAATAATGTCAATTTTGTATATGATAATGCAATGCAAGGTACAACAAAATTGTGATCTTTCTATCATTTATTCGATTAATTGAAGCATTTTTATGATTGCTAAAAGAATATTTATCATGATTTACAAAGAAGGCACACCTGATACCCCTGCTACTTTCTCCCCAATCACAGTAGCACACAATTAGCTTTTGTAGTTGCCAAACTCCTCTGTGTGCCATCTGGGAAACAAAATCTGTAAAAGTGAACAAAGACATTGAGAGATAACAGAAGGAATAGCATATTTCAGCTATTATTAAAAAATATACATATAAAGCAAGCTTCTAATGAGTTGAACATCTGAAGTTATTCCCATAATGAGCATAACAAAAAAACAAAAAACATTTACATGCTGATACGATAGCTGCCAGAAGACCATCAGACATCAAACAACAATGACAAAGATGCACAGTGTCTATATATTTCTCATTTTCAAACAAAGTATTTTTTTTTTTTTTAAATTTTCAAACAAAGTTGTTGTAGCCAATCTAATTCAAGTGGACATTTTCGATTTGATAAATATTTTCATCATCATCATCATTTACCTTTTCTATTATACACACACTGTTATTAGCAAGGGCAGATTCAGGATTTCTCAATGCGGTGGGTTAAATCATTTTATATCAACAAAAATCAACTGTTGTTTAATTCAATACTAACAATGTTTCTTTAGACAATTAATTGATTAAGGCATAGAAAATCCTTTTTGGGTAATTAATAAAAAAAAATTACCAATTTATTTTTGAACAATTCACCACTCAGTACCCTATCTCTTCTTTTGACCAATTTACTAATCCTATTTAAGAATCTACCAGTGGAAGCAGACTGTGAGGTAGTTCATCGCCGACCTGGGCCGTGGATGAAGATAATGGATGATAGAATGATTCGGTGCATCGCGGGCGTTGGAGAGTTGGCGCGAGTATGCATCCGCTCCGTTGATCTGGTCTAGTCAACAAAGGAACTGATCTAGTGCTTCGCGGCTCACAATAATTGAGAGAAGCAGCCAACACATGCTGAGAGTAGATCTGGCGCGTGTGGGAGCGTGTATAGGAAACCAGACTGTGAGGTAGTTCATCGCAAGCCCGTTCCAACACCATGCAATTCACTCAAAAGCATGCTTTTTGTAAGTATTTTAATTTTCAAGAAGTAACTTGGCTTTACCCTATACTCAGTACTTCTGCTTGTCAAAGTTCTTGTTATAATACCTTCCGAAAAAAAAAAAGTTCTTGTTATAATGACAATCTGATTTTTAAAGCCCTAGGGATGACATGAGCCTGTTACAAAGTCATTGGGCCAGCCCATAATCCAACAATCAGAGGCCCATTTCATTTTCAGATCTTGTACAGTTGGGCTACAACTCATCTCTGATAGGTCGCACATCCTCTGATCTAAAACCACCCCTCTGAATATGAAAATTACTAAATTTACTGTTTTTATACACACAACACAATCGGCATTTAGAAAGCTTATATTTTAGTTTCTAAGCACCTACTATGTACCATTAAGGAAGCTACAAAACTCAGTTTTTGAGCAACACCATCAACTATAATCCTTACAACAAAACAGCCTCACATATGAGGTAAGTTCAAAATAGAATTTCAGTTTTTTTTTTTTTTTTTGTAAATCAGCAACAACCCAATCAAACTAATTACTAAAATTTCAATTTATGTATACAAACATAATCAACATTTAGGGGAGTTTAAATACAGTTTCTAAGTACATAATACCTACCATCATAGGAAATAAGCAATAAACAATACCGTGGTGACGAGGTGGAGAGCATCACACCAACTATAATTCACACTGGGCGTATCAGTAAAGTTGTTTAGGTGTACCAGAAAAACGCGAACAAGAAGATGAATAGTGTTTGTAAATATATATACGTATATATGTATATAGACAGAAGAGAAAAGGGATGTATTTGGTTGCAACAGTAAGTTAAGGTAGTGTTTGGGCTATATTTTGGTGTAATGGCGTAATAAGGGGTAATAGAGTCATTTCATAGTTCTAAAGGGCATTATGGTCATTAAATCATATATTGTGCTCACGTGGCATTTTAACGGCGAGTTTCAACCGGTGCCGTCGCTGGATGGAGTCATTTGTAACAAAAATGTATAATTCAGGAGGTTTTTTGTAATTTTTGTAATTAAGAGGAGTTTGTCGCTAATTAGCCAATAGTTCAGCGGTTTTTTTGCATTTAACCCTTTAATATATTCAGCCCTTGTTTTTTCTGGTGTTTTACGGTAGGATACCATATCCTACCGAGTTTGGTGAGGGTATGCCCTTTATGGTACTTGTACTTCATAATTTTATTAATATGTTTTTTTTCATCATTTAGAAAAGAAAAAAAAGAATATTCAGGTTTCATCGCCAACAATAACAAACTTATCTCCCAATCAAAAAATGACTTTTATTTTAGGGGCAAAAACGTAATGTTTTATTAGATTTGATTCAGTGCCAACTGTAAACATAAAACTAATTGAAATATTCTTTGTTAAGTTTTATTAAATTAATTTGATTAAATATAGTTGTATATTAAATAAATACATAAATTCTGAACCAAATAAAAAATTAATATGGAAATATAAAATCTGATATCCTTTTTAGCTTTAAAAGAAAAGCTAGATACGGTTGATATCTTGTAATTTTTTTTTTTGTCATTTTTTAATTGTGAAAGTTCAAATTCTTCTAATTAACATAAATCAGTTTACTCCAATATCTTATCTCAAATATATGGTAGTATTTAAATTTAAAAACGTAATCTATCATTCGATATAACATCTAAAATCCTACCAACAAGGTGGAAAAAAAATCTAAAATCCCCATTTTGATTATAAGGGTAAGTATTTATGAAAATATGAAATTATGTAATGCATTTAAAAGATAAAATCACACCATTCATATGAAAATAGAAACATTCTTGAACATAGATATTGCATAATGAACATGATAATATGACCTAAAGCACGTAGATATCGCATGATGAATATGATAATATGACCTAAGGCATATAAAGTATGACAGGTTAGAGGGGTGTGGAAGCTAGAAATTCCAACTTTTTAATGGAGCAATAATCCTAGAGCATTTTACTCCAGCAAGCGCATAAATACCATAAAACTTTGTGCGAATATCTCAAGGGGTGCAATATTAGCATCCCATACAACTAGCCTTTGATGGTGCAAAAGTGTTCTCCACCGGTCCTTCATTGGTTTTATTTATTTATTTATTTATTTTATAAATAAAATAAATTGTTTATCTCTTAAAAAATAATGTTCAAGAAAAAGCAGCAAGTTTTTAAAACTCATAAATTATTCTTCAAATTTAAAAAGTTACAAAGCTTAATATAATTACACTTACTTCCTTTATAAATTGTTTAAATAACAAAGATATCTGGTTTCAAATATAACAACGACCTCCCCTATTAATTTTAATTTGACCTAATGTGCTAAATATATATATATATATATATATATATATATATATATATATATATATATATATTTATAGACAAAATAATTTTTCAAGTTTTCGAAGAGCTTATTGGGTTTTAGATAAATTTGAACATGACATAAGAGTGTCAGATTTTATGGTAAAATAAGTCAGTATCCTCGTAAGTAAAACAGAGGAGGGGTTGTTAGATTCCCTAATTCACTGAATGTAAAATACGGTAAGTGATTCTAAAAAATAATTGTGATAAAATTTTAGGATATCACTTAAGACGGAAAATAACACTTCAAAGAGACCAAATTTTTAAGTGAGGGGAATATTGTTTATTGCTTATTGTACAACACAATAAGTGGTTAGGCTTAAAAATAATTTTTTATTGACTACTCTATCCCTAAATAAAAATTTTAGGGTGCTCCCCATCTTCTGTCAACGTGTGAAAACGGAACGTTATAGCGCTCTCTTTTGAAAATTCTTTTATATATATATATATATACATACTATCTTTTGGTTACCCATTTAAATTAACTAACTATAGAATACAATTATTTATATAATAAAATTATATATAAACGCATTTTAACTCAATAAGTTCCAGCCATGCTTGGCCAGTAACGCATCACTGTACTCCTCAAAACTTCTAAATCCCAGCTGCCTCGCCGGAACACAATTGCTCCCATCCAACCTAATTATGAATTCTTTGTTGCATAAATGAGGTGGTGTCATTCATAAAATAAGCATTCAGAACAAAGGAAAAGTGAGGGCATACCCTCAAAAAAGGAAAGAACAATACACAATTGAGTAGCACCACTTCCAATGAGGATGCAACCCTGGCAATAAGAAATGTGAGAAGATTAACAAAAGAGATCATCAAGATAAGGAATAGCAGTAACATCCAACACCTCAAAAATAACAGCTCTAGCAATCTCCACAGCATCTCTCTTCTCTTGTAGTCATTATGCAGAGTTCCTTCCATTCCAAATGGCCCACACAGTAGAAGAAAACACCATAAAGATTCTCAAAAAGAATTGCATGGTAAGTCCCACTTGAAAAAAGAATCAAACCAGTCCCATACCTCCCTAGCAAAAGAACACCTATAGAAATATCAGTTCCATAATTTATTTCAGGATAAAAAATAAAAAAACAAAAAAATAGATTACATTAACTGTTATTTTCAATCTTTTCAAATTAAATTTTATTCAAAAAAAAAAAAAAAAAAAAGAAGAAAAATCGAGTTCGTACAATTTATGCTAAAGATCATTAGTCATCTAGCTGTTCACCCGACTCACATTTGGTTAAAGCTTGGTACCAGAAATGCAGAAACACCTAGCCAAAAAAAAAAGGGGGGGTCGAATGTCGAAGAAAGATATGACAGCTATTTGGAGAATGTGAACCCAATCTAGTTTAGATTAAATTCCCTTGTATTTATTATCTCACAACTGCTATTACTAACATTAAGTGTGTTACAATCGCATCTCCTTTTGTACCATGAAACATTCTGAGACTTGTTCTTGTACTAAGACTAGAAATGATTGTACCAAGAATGTTCTACCTTCACACTAGAAGTAAAACCAAATTTTCATTGTCTTTTTTTGGTTTTCGTACTCAAAACAAAACTCAGAACCTTGATTTCTTACATTCGCTACATGGAACTCAACATCTATCAATAAGGACCTAAGAATTAGCTTTATGTGATAATGGCCCTTGAAGTAGTAACTATCTAGGTGTCCCAGAAGGCCAAGCATAAACCACTGGTCAAATACCACAATGGAGAGGAGGTTTTGCATTACATTCAGTTGTCTTTGTTCCCTAAGCATTGATGCCTTTCACATCTCTTCAAAGAGACATATCCACGATTAAAGGTTTGTTAGTTCTCGCTTTTGTTTAACATTTTACTACTTACTATTAAACATATGACCCAATGTTAGCACCTATTACTTTGATGAATAATTGAACCTCCAAGTTCAGGAAATAGTTAGATCAACTAACTAATATCATATTGAACTACAACTCACCAAACTAAAACACTATACCATGTGCAAACTTGAGGATACACTTGATAAAACCTCCTTGCCTGCAATCTTAAGTGGCACCAGTTGATGCAACGTGGAGAAAAAAGAAAAGAAAAAAGCATTTATATTTGAACCATAATAAAAGAATTATAAATGGAGTAATTTAACAAAATCAACTCATAAAGACTTTAAGAGAAAATATATTATCAAGATTGAGAAGAAAAAAATTATAGATCAGTGATTACAGAAATTTAACTTACAGTAACGAGAGCTGCAGCCCCAGAAAATCCTTACCTGCCAAAATTAAAAAAATAATAAAAAAATAAAAATTGTTATCTCAAACATGATGAAATACAAGAAAAGTCAAATATAGAAACAGCATAATAGTACAAATAGGAATTGGGAGACTCAGATAAGCAAGAGAAAGAAGTGTTAGAGATGCATGTGAGTCCGTTAAAGGATATCTCAACTAACTGTGAACATACCATAGAACCTTCTTCGAAAGTAAGAAGCTTAGCAGTTTCCAAAGCTTCTTCACTGGATTATCTGAGAAGTTACAAAAGCATCAGAATTGACTAAATCTTGAATGTTCTGAAGCTTGTTCTTGAATGTTTATAGAGCAAATCTTCAAGCTTGTTCTTCATTATGGGTCCAAATATGGAGAGAGATTTGGGATGAGAGGGATTTTTCAGAAAGAAGACTTTCAAAGTTGAGTTGGGTCTAACCCTTTTTGTTGCCTTGTTTTTTTTTTTTTTTGGATATTTAGTGTTTTTTAGTTTGTAATTCTATAGAACCTCACTTAACAACATTAATTCTGCTGCATTTTCTACTGTAATTTTTCTTCACGAACTTCAAAGTTGTTTTCAATCTAAAGTTGAGCTCGTCGCTGTTCTCAAGAGAGCGCCCCCTTTATTGCCTTACTCTAATATCTCTGTACTGTTTTGACACTTGGGGAGATTTCTAGTTACTGCAAACTGTTATATTTTATAATTTATCAGAGGCATGATTTTACTTATACATCAAAAATTATATTACGAGAGGAAGAGCAACGAAAACAGTACTGTCATTCTTTTTTTATTATCTTTCCCCCATCTCTGATGAAAAGATTCATTCTGGGACCATAATAACTCTATGAGAATGTGTTTATGTCTTCGCTTGTGGTGCATAGACACTTCAAAAGTATCAATGCATGGAAGACAAGAAAAGCAACCACCATTCACCAATACCATATCACAACTTTTAATGCCTTAAAGATGTGAAGATAATGAAATACATTGTAAATTGAATAAGGAGCTTTGTACTTCACTTCTTGTATGATGTGTTTTCATTTTAATTTTGATTTTTGTGCTTCAAAAGGAAAATGACAGCATGAATAAAAAATTGAACATTTGAGTTCAAACTAAATGCAAAATAATAAGATTTTGAGGCTTACTTGAACCTCATCAAGAATGTTGAGATCCAAAACATCAGGGATGATGCTAGCACCGAAATTTCATGGCAGAAACAGAATTCTAAGCAAATAGAACCACCACCTATTTCTTAAGCAGGAAAAAGTGCTATTTACCATTCAGTTACTTGTTTCCATTTTCTAAAGCCTAAAGGGGAAATATGATATGTTCGATTACGAACTTTATAAAGGAAAGCCAAAACACATTTCCTTAGCAGAAGTAATGACTGAGGGCAGCTAAAGTCAACAGTCAGAGTAGTTGACTGGGCTAACTAGTGAACAAACAAGCAAATGATAACAAAATCAACAAAAAAACAAAAAAAAAAAAATTGAAACAATATATGAATTACTAAATAAAAATTTCTTCCTCTGGAGAACTGATAATACTGTTAATACTGCTTGAGACACAGATGTATAAGTATCTTCCCTAATGTCGTTTCTCATGCATAGTTAAATATTTACTATCTAGGCACTGGACTAAATTACAAACATCTCCACAAAACTAATTCTAAATACAGAGCCTATTGAATTAGTCCATTTCAGATTCGAAATAAAGGGTGAACAACATAAGCTTGTAGAGCTCAAGTACCTTTCACTAAATTTACTGCTTTCTGCCCTCAGAATTTTATTGCTGCACAACAATGGATGATTGTACTTCCGAAAATTTTCAAGCTCGAAGATGGGAACCACAATATAATCATTCAACCCTTCAAAAGTTCAACATACTGGTAACCAATCCAGGGAAACATATCCACAAGTAGAATATTAAAAATGTCCTGCATGTTGGATATTAATTGCCATCAAAAAACAAGAAAAAAGACAAAGACAAATCTACTGAACATATAAAATAGTGAACTCATATTTTAATCCCTTTCGTTTAGCAGAACAAATAGCATCAGTGCAAATGCAGAGTCAATCTCCAACACGAGTTCTAGAATCAAGGCATTTCTGTTTGTGTTGTCCAGGGAATACCCAGTGACAGAAAAGAAACTGTGATGGTAACTTATATTGATTGAAAAGAGAAAAACAGAAAATTCATTATGTTGCATATAAAATAATAACATAGGACTGTTTAACAGCATACAAAGTAAGTTGAATCATCCATTGCTAATTCACTTGCAAGGGTGTGGAAAATATGTTCAACTTTGGGTTGGTAGAACTGCTAAGACTTATCCCAAGTTCGACTAGTGCCATTTAAACTTGTCTAAGCTGGGTCAACCAAGCTCTAGCCTGTTCATGAACCTGACATGAGCTATTCATTATTAATAATGCACGTCCATGATCAATGGACATTTAATAATGCTTAAATAGCCATTTTAGACATTAAACAACATAATCTTCTTCTTTTTTATTATTATTATTATTTTTTTTTGAAAAATAAAAAAGAAAATAACCAATACGCGTGTTATGCAATGATGAAAACAGATTATTAGTTCACTATGAATCCCCAGTTCACTTTCCTAATTTAAGGCATATAGGACACATATTATATCAGCACTGCATCATACTGCCATCTCCTGTGCTTCAGGGAACCGACTAATCCAACACCTTAGAACATAGCAGCTGAAACATAATAATCAGTTCCATGTAATTTAGGCACTTGTTAATTTAAAAAAGGATTCCTGAAACATTTCAATTTAATTATTGATTTGATCCACACACATGCCAAAACTATATTTTGGCAAAGATTGGTGATTGGCAAATGATGCCTCAATTCTAAATTGTCATACACCACAAACTTACTTAACCTACTCATTGGTTTCATCTACTATGGTTTTATATAGATTTTATTTTTAAAAACTTCTTAGGAAAGTCTCTCAAGGGGACACATAATGGCAGCTAAGAATAACTATTTTCTGCTTTCAGTAGCACAGTGAAATCAAACTTGGTGCTGCTCAATACTGGCATAGTATGCATTTAGCTGAAACTAAGCTAATAACAACATGCTTTAGACTAGGGAACAAGTGTAAATGTATTAATTGAGAAGACAAGCTTAAGAAAATAAGTACCTGGTTTGTCAAATAACTTGGACATGTACAAAGAAACTCTCCACCGGTTAGTTTGATTGGTATGTCTTGCCACTGCCACTGCCAAATGGAGAGGTGCAGGGTTGAAGTCCCAATTGGAATGTGGGTCTCTCTCTTACCATAAGGAAAAGGAAGTATCAACACAGCAAATAGGAAGTGGCAAAAAGCGAATGAATTTCCTTGCAAAAAGCGAATGACATTCCCAGCAAATGTCAGCAAAATGGAGTTACCACTCAAATACCCCCAACCAAGGTGTCATGATCACTATGCATCTATTGATGAAAGGTATATGAAGGGCTTAAGCTTATTCTATCTTTCATTAGTTATATTACACAATAATACTTTAGTGTAATATGTCCGATAAAATGCTTCATGAAGGATGATATTTTCATACAGTGTAAAGCAAAAGGCAATTCCAAATACCAATTTAAAACTGTGTACTGTAGCTCAATAATAATGAAACTACACAATTAGACAACAGCAGCCAAAAAGAATGATGTGTGTAACTTGTAAGATATGAGAACGTGACTCACCAGGCTTTCCTTAGAATGGCACTTTCAGCTGGTTCCATAGAATACACCTAGACGTAAGCAAAAGAAAGGTTCAACAAACAGCAGTAAAATATGATATATATATATATATAAACAAGAGAACAGACACAAACAAACCTTTATCATTGAGGTTTTTTTTCCTTCTTGAGGAACTTAATTCGTTGGACCAGTCACTATCCCTATCCTTGCAACATGGGACATGGAATTTCTCTTAAGAGCCCCTACCAATTAAATCTCTGGTCCAGTATTTACATAATGAATATTAAACCTCCAATGAGTGTCTGTCACTACTGTTGTTTTCATGCATTCATGGTTATATATCCACTGAACCATATTAGAAATAGCATCTCCGCCAAACCTGTTCCAATAACACAGGATAGTCCATCTTAGATTTCCAATAAAGGGTGAACAGGTCAGAAGCTCGGAGAATTGTGATCAAATAGAAAATGTGACTTACCCAAATTTCAATATATCCTTCTGGTAACAGTCCAAGTTTCAAGAAAATTGGAGGTTTAGCAGTTCTTTGGGGAATCGATTGAAAATCTGAAGTCAAAAAGAAAAGAAAAACTTTGACAAAAGGGGGAAAAAAAGGACTTTTATAGCTTACAAGAAAACAATAAGTAAGGAGGAGGGGAGGGGGAATTTAATAGATAGAAGAAAGAAACAAATTTTGTTATATATGTTTTATGCAGTAGAGTTTAGAGCATAGTACCCGAGGGGAAGGAAATTTAGAAACCAGAGGAATCCAATGTGAGCACGAATGATGGTCACTCTATGTTTATGATTTCTTCACCATTGAGCCTTTTCCAGGGGATTCGTGAAATGTTGGGCCAATCTTCCCCTTTCTCTCTTTGGCAACGTGATTTCAGCAATGGACAATTGATTATTTCCAGATAAGAGAGGGAATTTGGTAGCCCCTCTTCTGGCAAGGACTGGAGCTTGGGGCAGTTCTGGATGAATAGACCTCGAAGAGAGGTGAGGTGTTGAAGGCCCTTGTAGTTCAGTGATTTCAGATTTGGAAGAAAACCAATACAAAGTTCGGTAAGAGTGGTAGGTAATAACCACTCCTCCGGAAATGACTCCAACACTTCTTCTTCATATGCACCATCAATGATGAAAAATCCAAGAGATGGGAGTGTTTGTAAACCCCACCCCATCCGGCCCTTCATCAGTTTCTCGCAATTAGAGATCCAAAGTGCACGTAGGTTGGATGGCAAACCTCCATCTGGAAATGATTCAACTTCTGGACAACTATGGATCCACAATTTTTGAAGAGATGGGAGGAGGGTGTGCATTTGTTGCGGCACTGACACTAGATTCTTGCAGTCATAGACCCAAAAGGATGTAATTTTTGGGCAATTCTCCATTCTAAGCTCCATCAGATTATGAAGCTTCTCGTCTGGAATTGATAGTGTTTCAAAATTTATACACCTTGAGATATCTAGAGAACGAAGCTTTGGGAAGAACCTTAATGACAGCAATCTGAGAAGATCACAGCCTCTGAAGCGCAAAGCTTCAATGGAACATGTGTGCCAATTATGCTCCTCCAACAGAAGGGGAAACTCTAAACTGCTGCAGTTGTATATGTCAAGTGTTTTCAGTGTAGCAGGTAGACCACCACTGGGCAAAGACAACTGAAAAAGAGATGAACAATCAAAGATGCACAACTCCTCAAGGCAAATGTCCATTCCCTTTGATGGTACTGCTGCTAAGGACTGTAGAGCTTCACATCTTTCGATCTTCAGGGTCTTAAGCGTCGGCGGCAACTTCATCTCTAGAGCTGACTGAAGGCACCGACAATCCTTTATCTCCAAGCTTTCAAGATTTAATAATCTGCACAATTCTGGAGGCAATTCCTTCAAGTTTGGCATCCCTGAAATCTCCAATTTCTGAAGAGAAGACAGGCCTTGCAATAGCATTGCAACTTGAATAGACAACAGTTGTTGGCATCCAGAAATTGTAAGTTTCCTTAAACAAGGGAGGTGGTTGGGTAATTCACCAATTAGCTTGGGACAATTCAACAAAGAAAGCTCTAAAAGCTGAGAGAACTCTCCCGCCCCTAATATATGCCATTCCTCCCACTCTGGCATTCCATCAAAGCTTAGTGTCTCCAGAGATTGAAATGGTTTCTTCGAACAAGAAGAAGAAGAAGAAGAGGAAGAGGAAGAAGCATCCCCATAGAACTCTCCACCCACCTTCGTTATTTTTTTCATCCCTTCAATTCTTAGATGTTTTAGAGAGGGCAGCTGCCCAATTGATGGCAATAAATAGCAATTTGCACACCTTACAAGTTTTAAGGACACCATGTTATGAAACGAATGAGTTCTCTTTAACCAATCTGGAAAGCTTGTGCACCCATAGTTAATGATGCTGAGATCCTTCACCCCAGCATGAGGCTGTAGCTGGTCAAGTACTTCTTTTTCCTTTTCTGAATCATTAGTATTACCACCCCATTCAAGCTCTAACACTTCAAGGTGCTCCTTTCCCTTCAGATTGGCCTCTGATGCATTTGGACCACTAGTTACATTTTCCAACCCTAAAATGCGGAGTTGCCCACGAAGTTGACAGAGTTCCTTCAATCCACTAATCTTTGATCCACCATCCTTGCCAACTAAAAAATATGTTAAATGTTGGAGATCTTTTAGTTTGCTCATTTGCATCGGCATTTCTATCAATCTAGTTTCTCTGATATCAAGATGGCGCAAGTTTATTAGTTTTCCCATATTCATAGGCAACCTGGTGAGATCCACACAATATGACAAATCTAATGTTTGTAAATTGCACATGGTTGTTATTGAGTCTGGTAACTGTTTGATTTTTGTCCGAGAGAGATCCAAATAGCGTAAACATACCAAACTTTCAATCGATTGAGGCAATTCAGAAATTTGATATTGAGACAAAGATAGCACCCTTAAGCATCTCAGGTTTGGCAACATATCATTTAGTACCTTATTGCTTAAGAAAGAATGCCATTCACCTCTTGAAAATCCTATGAACGACCGTAAATACTTAATCTCTTTAACAACCTTGAATTTTTCAAATGCATCAAAGTAGTCTCTTACATATGACAAATGGCGAACTTTTTTAGAGATATTGTGTGCCTTGTCATCATCTAACATAAAACAAAATTCTCCAGATACATGTCGAGCTAAATCATGTATGAGATCATGCATTACAAAATAGGAACTGTTATCACTTAATCTTTGAAAGAAAGACCTTGACAGTAGCTCATGAAAATAATGATTACCTGCATCTTCCAAAAGCATATTATTTTCATGCTGCACAAGATTTTCGGCTATCCATAACTGGACCAACTTTTCCTTCTCAAATCTGTAATTTTTAAGAAAAATTGCACAATATGCAAAGCATCTCTTTAAATGTGAAGGAAGATAATGATAGCTCAATCTTAGTGCTGGAAGAATGTTGCTTTCCTTCAAACCCCACAACTCACTGTTTAGTATATACTTCCATTCATCAATATCCAGTTTAGATCGCAAGATTCCTCCAAGTGATTTTACCGCTAGAGGCAGGCCTTTACACTTCCTCACAATTTCTCTACCAATCATCTCTAGCTTTGGATGAGACATGTAATCTCCATTCACAAATGCGTGCTTTGCAAATAATGACCAACAGTCTTCCGACGATAGTTCCTTCAAGTGACAATAACCAGGAACTGTGCTCATGGCTGATGCAACTTTATCCATACGTGTCGTTATAATAATCCTACTTTCCTGTGCTCCAGCCATGAAGGGTTTTTTTAAGAGGTGCCAAGCATTGTAATCGTCATTCCAAACATCGTCTAAGACAATCAGAAATTTCTTCCCTGCTAGGCTTTCTTTCAACTTGATTTGAAGTTGATCAAGGTCATTCTTGACGTTTGTTGATGGGGTAACAGCCTCAAGAATTTTTTTTGTTATCACAGAAACATCAAATTCATCGGAAACACAAACCCATGCTTTCATATCAAAATTTTGACCCACTCTAGCGTCATTGTAAACAAGTTGAGTAAGGATTGTCTTACCCACCCCACCCATGCCTACAATGGGGATCACAGGGATCTCATTCTTAGTTGCATTGCCAGACAATAATAATTCAATTATCTCCTCTTTGTCATTCTCTCTACCATAGACCTCAGATTCATCTACCAAAGATGTGGTTTGCAGCCTGCGCCACTGTTTCCTTCCAACATTCTCTACCAAATTAAGATAATTTTTTTGCTTGACAAACCCCTCCAACTCACTCATGACCTCTTTCATCCGGGACTCTATCGCTTCATCAGACAGATAAGCAGGAGCCCAGACAAAACAATTAATTGGTACCAGAAATTGCTTCATTAAATGGAAAACTCGACTGAAACCAACCTTACTTCTGCTTCTTTGGGTTTGGGACTGATCATCAGCTGCCAACTTGTTCTTCAAGGCCTTGGTAGCAATCTCGTCCAGCAAGTCCTCAGCATGGTAGACAAAATGTTGGAGCTCGTCAAGCCAATCTTTCACATTTTTGTTGGTAATCTGCTTGTCCTCTGCATCATCCAGCACTGCTTGAAGGGCCATCAAGGTTACCTTCAGCTTGTTTATGAGTCCATCATCAAATTTTTGCTTCGTAAAGAAGTCTATGAGCTCGCGAGAAGCCAACCGATCAAACAGCACTTGGAGGGAAGCAGAGAGAAATGCTCCACCCACCAAAACTTCAGCCATGTTCTTTTCGTCTGAGAGAGAGAGAGAGAGAAGTTGTGAGGAGCAGTAAATGATAATGTAAATTGCACAAATGTCTAATATAGCTGCTAAACATACACCCGATAAAGACAATAAATAAATTGAAGAAAAGCCTACTATGGCTGCTGCAATTTGTTGAAAAGCAGTTAATGCATCATGCAGTGATATACTCCCTCTGTCCCAAAATACTTGTCCACCTTGGGAACTGTGCATCATGGAGGGAGTATTATCTACCAAACTGCCTTGAAAATATGCACTGACAATGTCAATGTATTTTTTTCCCTCCGTATATCCCAAAATACTTGTCCACCTTGGGAACTATGCATCATGGAGGGAGTATTATCTTAACAAACGGCCTTTAAAATATGCACCGACAATGTCAATGTATTTTTTTCCCCTCCGTATAGTAGCTGGAGGTATGTAAAAGACCAAGAACATACTTGGGTCCAAAAAGGATAATAGCTGCCTCCAACATTGATGAAAAAGTTCTTCCTGATAACTATACGATACAGTAGGAAAATTGAGATTGTCATCATGATTATGTGTTGAAATTTTCTATGAAACACTAATTTAAATTTGTGAAAAATCTCCTAATAAATCATGAGTGAGTGCATTTGGGATGTTTTGTTAATATTATTTTGTTTTATTTAATTGTTCTGCTGTAAATTTGAAGCAGGAATTTTCATTGACTTAAAAGTACAGATAATCAAGGGAAAAAAAAAAAAAACTAGTAGTGGGTCAAAACCATTTAGGATTATTTTTAGTAAATTTGTTGTTTGGGATAAATTTTTGTAATATTGTCTTGTTAATGACTAAATTGGGACCACCAGGGAAAGACCTATACCCTCTTTTGGTTTTATTACCTTGGATGCTTGCTAGAGGGTATTGCATAAAGCTAAGGTTGGAAAAATAAAGCTACTTTTGGACCAATAATTCATACTACATAAGGTGAATAGAAAGTTGGAAAATTGAAGGAATCCACACTCCAATAATGGAGGATGTGGACTAAAAGAATTGGTCCCTAGTAAAGTTGTATTCATGTTTATTTCATCAAATAAAAAGTTGATTTCAAGCTGAATTGTGAGATTCATTTACTTAACAATAGCCAAGTCCAAACATTATTCAATAGAAGTACTCCCCTGTCCCATAACAGTTGTTCTTTCTATGTTTGAAAAAAAAAAAAAAGAAAGATAATGGCTGAAAAAAATTAAGGGTCAAGTGCAAGAACCCCCTACACTACAGGTTTTGCTCACATTGACCTTCCTCTACTTTTGAAATGTGAGTCCCTATTTTATTTTTGAAAAAATGTGCAAATACACCCCTTCTCACCACTTTTTGATGAAAATTGACATAAAGTAAATTTGATATCCCAATTTTAGCCCTTTCCCCTTACCATATTGCTCTTCTCACATTATATATCATAAAAACAATAACAAAGAGTAGACAGATACAAAAAATAATAATAATAATAATAATAAATCCACTTTGCAACAAATTACTATAGGTTTTTTCCATGAGCCTTTGAGTTTCTTTCTGGTTAAAAAATTATACTAGTCTCGTAGTGCTATTCTATTTTACTCACACGGGAAATATAGTCTAATATTCATCCCAGTGCATAGTCCATTAATCTGATAGTTTAGCTGCCTGGATACTGGATGATTTGATCAATAAAAAATCACCAATTAAATCCCAAGAGAAGAAGAAATTTTGAGTAGAAGTATGATATGAAAGATGAAAGAAGTTATGGAGCATCATCTCAAACTCAAAACCGAAAAAAAAAAAAAAAAAAAAAAAAAAAAAAAAAAAAAAAAAAGAAAATTGTTTTCAAGGAATGCATTGTTAATTAGTTTGGAATTTTGAGAGAAAAAATTAATAAATAAATAAAAATTCTACACAATTAGAAACAGAACAATACATAATACAGGCATATAAGTCTCAGTTTGTCAACATCCTTCCATGATAGCATATAATGATGGTTTATTGATAGATTTCAATCCTTTTTAATATGGCTTGCTATATTCTTTTACTCTGTTTAATCATTTTTATTTTTCTTTTTGTTCAGTGTCATCGCTTCACTATTAAATTGGTTCAGACAATTTAACAAACAGAGACATATCAAATACTATATCTAAGAGAATTCTTATCATTCAAAACCAGGAGATATATAAGAAAGTATAACAATAATACCATTTGGGACCGCATCCACCTTCAGAAGCATTGGTTGAGATTCATGACAAGAAGGCTGACCGCCATGGCGAAAACCTTCTCCAACTCGCTCCTCAAACTCAACCCCTCCTCCTCCTCATCACTTCCACTCAATTTCCCTTCAGTTCTACTCCCCTGATTCTCTCCACACTCACTTTTATCATCACCAACATCACTATTCCCCGATTCCCCCCTCAATCTCATCATCACCCTTATCATTCTCAACAATCTAAACCAGTAGTTTCTATATTTACTTCTTCCACACCACAATCAAATTGTTCAGCTTCTCACTCCAAACCCGTCAATTCACTTGCTTCCTTAGCTCCTTCAAATTCAAATCCATCCCGCCAAAACGTCCGATGTCTCTCCCACACTTTCCTCCTCGTCAATCCGATCAACAGGAAGCGGTCTTTGAGCTTGAAATTCGTCAGCTATTTATGTAAATTGTTCAACAAATTGGAATCTCCTTTCAATTTTAGATTCAGTACTCAAAACTATAAATCCCTAAGTCACATAAAGCGGGAGCGGGATCGAATTCGAGAACGTGAGAGCGGTAAAATTAAGTCATAAGCATTGAGAATTTGAGTAAGAATGCGTGGGAAGAGCGAGAAAGGTAACGTGTTCAAAAGGCGACACCTATTGAGAAGAATTATATGACTAACTCTATCAAACTTCACCTTCTCCACCACACTTAAATGTTGTGCAATTAATAAATTTAAATTATCAAATGTATTTCTGTTGCCTAACGAATCGTATTGGAACAAAAATTGCAATTGTCCAAAAGGCTGATGGTCCCACCTACTTTAATTCTGCATTTCAACACTATTCTTAAAAGTATTTGCCCGTAGTAAATCAACGGCCGAGATCAACAATGGACTGAAGGTTCATTATAAATCACAACGAACCTGCCTGTATTGGAATGCCGACTGCTAACTTGTTGCAGTTTCCGTTCTCCCCCAAGAAAAGCAGCAATTCAACAACAAGCGTCGTCTGGAATGTTCTTTTCCCGCACCAACACACACTCACTCACTCGTGTACAAATTTCCATTCCTACTCGCCACCTCCATCATTGGGTGCATGTTTTTTATTTTGGTAATTTAATTTAATTTTCTAAAAAAAATATTAAATATTCATATTCCGTCACACTTGATTTTCTATAGTAATAAAAATGACACAATTACTACACAAAATAAGAGTACATTGCATCTAAAAACAAGAAAATAATAATAAAAAATTCTTTTAAGAAACGGGCAAGTCTCACTTCATTGTATCTTATAAATACATGAGCTTTAGATCCATGCCTTTTATTTTCAATGGCTATATTATTACTTTTACCACTATTATGTAGGGCTGCAAATGAACCGAGCTCGGCTCGAGCTTGGGTATGCTCAGATTCGGCTTGTTTGCTTACAGCATCTGCTCGGGCTGACGAGCTCAAAAAATTGAACTCGGACTCAGACTCGTCTTAATTTTAAAAGCTTGGGCTCGGCTCATTTAACAAAAATAAATAAAAATCAAACTCAAAATTAATTATAATCCACATGCCACAACACACAGTATGCACTATCATGGAAAAATAGCTGGACTTCCAGCCTATTATCAAATCAAAGCTACTTGTTTTATTAAGAGAAGATTGAACTTACAGTACTTATAATACAATTTCATAATTAAAAAGTATGATACGTAATAAACATGAAAACACCAAAAACAAAATAGGATTTCTTACTGAAGGCAAAGATCAAGCCCCAATTTTCAGTGATGCCTTGAGACACCAACAGAGAGACCTACAGAAAGAATCGATGATGTTTCAGCTTCCACTGGACTTTCATCTTCATGGGACTCTTAGATAGAGTGGAAGAATGTATAGATTATATAATTTGTTATTATGTTTGCCCTCTGGTTTTTCGTTGGTCTCTGCCTCTCTTGGTCTTCACTTGCTCTTCACAATTTCATCATTATTGGTATAAACAATGAGGCGACTGACTACCGAGAGAATGCAAAAGAATACAGACTGACTACCTAGAGAATGCAAAAGAATACAAAAAAAAAAGGTAAAAAGTGATGAAAATTGCAACTTGCAAGAGATAAGGTGTACTGTGTCAATACTTAGGGAAAGAAAGAGATTGTGAAGAAATAATGTTTACATTATTTTATTTATTTTAATACTTGAGCTATAATAAAATTAAAGATCTGACTCACTTCATTATAATATGTATATAAATATATAATATCTAATATATATATTTATATAACGAGCCGAATTTTGTTCAAGAACATTAACGAGTCTAAATGAACTCATATTTACGAGTCTATACGAGTCGAGCCTAACATTATTTAAGCTCAGTTTGTTTGGTAAACGAGCTTACAAATTGGATTCGAGTTCAATTCTTTTACTTAACAAACGAATCCGAGTCAAGCCCTTAACAAGTCGAATCTGAATTGTCCAATAGCTCGGTTCATTCATTTGCAACCCTTAACATGTACTTCTGAAGTGGGCAAAGGCTTCGTTCCTTTTATTTCTTATTTTTTGAAATAAAGCATGTGCAACAGCATTAAAGTGAGATGCAAATATAATGATTATTTTTCATAAATAAAATTTCTGATAACTTTTTTTTTTTTTTTTATCTGTTCTGATAACTAGAAAAGTAGAAAAGTTTGCAAAACTTTTAGATTCAACTCTCTATTATTCTACCTTTCAAAAAAAAAAAAAAAACTCGCCATTATTCTGTCCAAACGAAAGATCGTGTTAACAAAATGATTAAATTTAAATTTGTGTATAAAAAATATTTTAAATGTGAGAGTAAATTAATAAAATTACAATTTTGGTTAACGCCGTCCAATAACAAAATATGATGGGTTGTATTTATATATTTTACTTACCAAAAAAAAAAAAAAAAAAAAAAAAAATTGATGGTAGAGGTTGGTGTGATTTTTGAATACATAGAAAATATCTATGTAATTTTAGTCAATTACATATGATAATTAGTAGTATAATTTATCCAAAACTTTTTTTATAAATAAATATGTTTTGAAAACTCAAGTCAACCCGGTATTTAATTATTATAAATAAATTAAATGCCTATTCAATTAATTAGTACAACCTTCAGCGCGAGTAGCTAGTTTTTGGTACTCCAACTGTATTTAGACAAAAGAGGCAGGCTATATCCGTCATTTCGGTTTGAAACCACCGCCTCAAAAGCACGTGCCTTTCTGCGTAAAGCGGTTCAAAAGTAAGAAATTTCCTTCATTTTGAGTCTCGTGTTGTGTTGTGTTGTGTTGCGCACTTGCGTTTGGGTTTATAGTTGTAAAGGCCCTAATTCTTGTAGTCTGTCTGCGATTGTTGGTTTTGGTTTGGAGATGGCGTCGTTTGAGCAAGCACCAGCAGGCGATGCAAAAACAGGGGAGAAGATCTTCCGAACAAAGTGCGCTCAGTGTCATACCGTCGACAAAGGCGCTGGCCATAAGCAAGGTTCTTACCAATCCTCTCTCGTCTCATCATCATTTTCATTCTTACCAATCTATAATTTGATTCTTTTGATTTTTGTGTTGAAAATCTATTTTTATTCTTTCTTGCAATTAAGTGATTCACACTTTTTGTTTTCAATTTGATTTGATTTGATTTATTTGCTTGATTTTCTGCATTCATTCTATTATATATTTATATTGTAATTCCATATGTTTCTTTCTGCGATCTCTTTGTCAATCGTAATAATTATGATAACACATGAAAAGAGAACATAATTAAATGCAAATATATATATGTGTGTGTATTGATAATTAATCTATTTGAACTTCAAAAAATCTTCAAATAATCCCATTTCTATCATTCAACTTATTGTAAGTTGATGGAATTACCCAACCACCCTTAAAAGTGAGATTTAAGAAATTAAGTTAAAAAAAGAAGAAGATGGTTTTGAACTAATAAGATTATCCGAGTTTGAGTTAAGACCCTAGGATCTACCATTGAAATAACCCTACTCATTTCTTCCATTCGAACCCCTAAAATCGGTCCCTTCATTTTTATTTTGTACGGGTGTAATTTGGCCTAAAAAAGGACATGTTGGTCCAAATATGTCTCATTTGGAAAAATAACAGTAGGGGACAATTTGCAAGGTTTCACTATAGTACAAGGGTTATTTGCCAAATTGGTAGTCTAGAGAGGATATTTGCAAATGTGATATAGTTGAAGGTGTTCCTTGTATTTGCGCCAAAAATTATACTTACATTAGTTATGAAGAAGACATTAGGAATAGGGCCTACAGGTGAGAAATAGACTTAGGTGGTATGGACTATTGTCACATTGACCCGTTGATGCACCCATAAGAAAGAGAAGATTAGTTTGCGCAAAAGGTAAGAGGCAAATAGGCCGACCAAAACTAACATGGAATGAATTAATTAAAAATGACTTTATAAAATTAAATATTAAAAAACATCGTAGAATGGAAAAAGATAATTCATGTGGCCGACACCACTTTTTTGGCGAAAAGGCAATGATGATGATGAAGAGGAAGAATTATACTCGGAACCGTATGTCTTTTTGCGTGTATCCTCATTCCTTAGTCCTTTTTGCAATCTATTTCACAGAAATTTATGGGTTTGTTAATTGTGGCAATGATATTGATGCGCCAGTATATGAACGCGAACAAATATAAAAATGTTGGATATATGGGTTTTTTTGCAGTTTATTTTATGGAGATTTCCATGCTTTTGTTGATGATAATATTGACCAGGCTGATTGATTTATGTTTTGATTTATTTTAGCAAGTGTGGATCTACTATACATATTCATATGTGAAGTTTTTATTTAGTTCTGCAACCTTGGTGCTGTCATTGATTTATACAGAACTTTTATGATCAGCAGCGTAGTTTTCTTTTATTATTGCTGCTATGTTTTAGCGATTTTATATCCTTATTCCAGCAGAATATCCTAATTCAAACAACATTACTGTTTTTAAACAAACTATTTTGTGTCTAATATATTTTTGGACTTGGAATGCTATGCAAGGCATGTGAACAATTTAATTTGCGAACGTAAACAACTTTTTTCTTCCCATATATTTATACATTTTTTTGTTAGTGGATTCTTTATTAAAAATTCCTCCATAGTAACCATAATCACCAGAATATGATACAAAAGAATGTCTTTTATTTTATAGTGACAAAAATCGGGCCTAACAGTTGTGACTTTGACCTTTGCTTCCAATTTTGGCGGGTGAGCATGCAAATAAGACTAAGCACATAAACAATACCACTTATATGGGAAAAGTATACAAATAATTGTACCGTATATTGGTATACAAGCACGTTGCTGAGAACACTGTTCGACTTTCTGCTTGGAACGGTGCTGATATGGTCTAGTGTAGTAGTGTGGCTGGATGTTGTAAGCTTTATGTAATACCTAGGGCTGTAAGTGAGCCGAGTCGAGCTGCGCTGAGCTTTGGAATGGTCGACCTCGGCTTGTCAAACTTAAAGTGGTGTTCGAGCTTGGCTCCTGTTTGATCAATCTCTTCCTCCCCATGGGAAAAATATTGGGTACCCTGGGGCCTGGGGGTAGCAGTCACTAAATACCCCCCACCCAATCAGAATATCATATTTCCCTTAATAAGAGGAACTTGGATGCTTTGATTGGGTGGGGGAATTTAGTAACCACTACCCCAGGGTACCCAATAATTTCTCCTCCCCATGATCGAGCTTGGTTTGACAATTTTAGGACAAAATGGAGCTCGTCTTCGTTGCTTGTTTATGCGTATCAATATACAATAGATATACGAACTTTATGTATTACATATTTTTGTATATGCATGTATGTTATATATATAATATTCACCCCAAGATGAGGGAGAACTTTTGAAAACAAAAACAAAGAGAAAAATGGAGAGAACACACTAACCTGCTTGGAAATTAACATTGCGATTGTGAAGAAGTGTTGCCATCATTTTGATCGCGAAGAAGTGTTGTTTTTTTGATAGTCGATTCGGTGGTTTCAGTTCGTGTTGTAGTGTTGTGGTTGGTGGGGTTGTTGCCAATTTCTACCTGTTAGGTTGTGGGGTTGTGCGGTGGCTAAGGTTTGTCTAAGAAATGAAAGTGAGTGAGAGTATGGAATAAAGAGTTTTTGGGCTGGGTAATGGGCTTGGGACGTGCTCTTTTATTTTCAAAATGAATGAAACAACATGAGTTGAGTTGGTTTGGGCTAGGAGTCTAGGAGTTTGTTTATGGGTTAAAATGAAATTTAAAGGCTCATAAGACTACTTAACATGGCCCTATATATATGTCTATATATATATTGACAAGCTCAAAATGAGCCATTTAGCAAGCTCGTTCAGGAACATATTCACGAACAAACGAGTCAAGCAGGGGGTTGTTTGAGCTTGGTTCATTTAATAATCAAGCTTGAAAATTCTGTTTGAACTTAGTTCGTGTATCAAATAAATGAACATGAACCGAGCTTTTAACCAGTTGACCCCGAGCTGTTCGCGAACAACTCTGTTCATTTACAGCCCTAATACCCTAAAATCTGAGATCTCCTTTTATTTTCAATACTTGAGATTTGTTTCTAATCAATATTGCTACTGTTTGTTTTAGAATGCCAGTTATTTCATGAAAATATGAGTTGATTTTTCCTTGCACTTAGATCAAGTTAAAGAACAGTGATCTAAGATATTTTTGGGCTTGCCTGATGCACATGATTTACAGGTTATTTACTTACAAAAAAAAATCATTTGCAGATTATTTGTGTGCATTTATTGGGATTTGTTGTGACTTGAAATTGGTTCAGGACATGGTGGTGTGACAAAAAACTGAAAATTAGAATTCTGAACTGTTATACTAATCAAATTATTACATTTTTGAAACAAATCAGCAATAGTTTATTCATAAATTTGATTAGTCAGAGCGTGGGAATCTGGAATGTCATAATTCTAAATTGCATTGCGAGATTTGCTCACTTTAGGAATTATTGTAAAGTTTAAATTTTAATTGACAGAATATTATCAATCTATAGGTATTTCTCTATGTAATTAATGTGAAAGTTTAGAGGTTTAACACAAAGTAAGGATTAATTGAATTTGGTTGAAGAATGGTTGGTAATACAGATCAGATATTTGTCTTTTGCGGCAACAACTACTCCAACTATGAGTATGACCATTCAACTGTAAAAGCACTTATTCTGGTTTTAGAGTTTGGACTTAGACTTGGTTTTTACATGTGCTTGGTACTGAAAGTCCTTATGCTTGGCCATGGTGCACTTCAAGTTTTATCATTCATTGTCGTTTTAGATTTTTATGTAGGTGTTTTTCATGTACTTTTATTTTTTATATTTTACTTTTGTCTATTGCCTATCCGGCTTAGTGAGATTTCGAGGTTTATACCTACGGGGCTTTGAAATTTCCAGGACCCAATTTAAATGGCCTTTTCGGAAGGCAGTCTGGTACAACTGCTGGATACTCGTACTCTGCTGCTAACAAGAATAGGGCTGTGAACTGGGGAGAGGATACACTATATGACTACTTGCTGAACCCTAAGAAGGTATGAAGTTATGCATGCTTCCTTGCAATTTTCCCCTTACCTTTCTTCGCACCTTCATTTTTATAGATAAACAAATCTGTAGGCGTGTGTACATTCCCAGATTGTGAAATTTTGTTAAATGATGGTTTGGTTGTGAATTTTTTTTTTTTTTTTTGTGCAGTACATTCCTGGAACTAAGATGGTTTTCCCTGGATTGAAGAAGCCGCAGGACCGTGCCGATCTCATAGCTTACCTGAAGGAATCGACTGCTTGATGATTTTTCCATTTTGTGGATGATAGCATCTTTTTTATACTTCGTTACAATTGGAAGAGTTAGATGGCTTGTGCCAGTTTAGAAATCTTTTTGAAATAAATAGCTACTGCCATTAAAATAAGACCCTTTTTCACTATGCTATTTCTATGGGAGAGTTGGGTCAGTAGCAGAGAATCATTTTTTGCATTTCATGAGTCTCATTTTTTGTATCCCATCTGTAGTTAATTTTCCGGGAAGGAAAGCGTCAGGATGAACTGTTATTGATACGGCTTCTATTTCTGTGATGATGGTTCTCTGAAACAAAAAGAAGTCTCTGTGATGGTGGTATACTGGGTTTGGTTATGATTTCTTAAACATTTTTGTTGTTCAAGTACTGGCTTATTTCAAGTGAATTGAGCCGAGCCAAGGGAGTTTGTCTGTTCGGGCTTGGCTTGTTTGTTTGTGGGTCTGGCTCGTCATCAGTTTGAAAAGCTCGAGTTGGGCTCGTTTGAAAGTTTGGTTTTGATTTGAGCTTGTGTTTAAGACCAATTTTGACGCTTCAAGTTTTTATGTTTACGAATAGACGTGAAAACCACCCTTGTAACATGATCTCCTATGAAGCACGGACACGTGTTATAGGGTTGAAGTACCGGTGTCGAACACATGTCCGACACGGACACACGTGTCCCAGTCTCGGACACGTGTCCGACACGGATCTACCGGTGTCCTATTTTTTTATTCATTTTTTCAAGTCGGACACGCCGGAGGACATGGTTGAGACACGTCGGAGGACACGGCTGGTACACCGGAGGACACCGGTGCAGGACACGGTAGTTCAGATTAATAAAAAAAAATGGAAGGGATGAGAGAAATACTGGAAGGGAGAAGAGAAATCAACACAGAGATGATGAATCATGCTCTGGTTGGTTATTGATGGAGGAGAAGGAAGATAGAAAGTTAAGAGAAGGAGGAGATGGCGTTCGACAAGAATTCCGATTATGCTAAAGTCTCTCTTTTCTGGTTGCGAACAGATCTCAACCAAAGGCTTGATCGTCTTTTTCTTCCTCTGTCAGTGCGTGGTTATTGGTTAATAAAAGAGGAATTCAATTTTGAAGAGAGAGGGAGACAGTCAAACTTGGGAAGACCAAACTTGGGAAGACCGAGGAAGAAGATAGAAAGATAAGATTGTAATCTTCTGTGTTTGGTTACAAAGTTAATCTTATCTTCTGTTGTGTTTGGTTACAAAGTTAAAACTATTCTAGTATTGATACAAATTCTAGTATTGGATATAAAGATATATTATGTATTTATTGTTTTAATTTTAATAAAATTTGGATTGGACTTAATTTAAATGGATCATGTCTATTAATGTAAATTAAAAATTAAGAGAAATTAAAATTTTATATATAATAAAAATATATATTATTATTTTATTACCGTATCCTTACCGTGTCTGTGTCCTATTTCTTTTAAATTTGCCGTATCGCCGTATCCGTGTCGTATTGTACCCGTGTCCCGTGTCGGTGTCCGTGCTTCATAAATGATCTCACTTTACGCAAGTTTATTGTCCTTGATCATTTAATAATGTTCAGGGTCAACCCTTGTTTCGAGGAGTTGATGAAAAATTTGGTTTAATTGCAACCCTAAATTTTTTAGTTTTTGGGTGGGTTGGATTCTAAAAAAACCATGTCCCTGCACGGAATGCAGTTCGTGTGTGAACATGAAGTATGTAAAAGTATTTTTGTCTAAATAATAAAATTATGGTATATGGGACTGGAGTTTGTCGGTACTTAAAATTTTAAAAAATAATGTGTCTTATGTTTCCTGTAGTTTCAAATGAGTTGTCCTGTAATTTAAAATTTTTGATGGTGGAATATTACACTGAATTAATTTAAATATAAAAAGTTAATAATACTCTTAGATATAATAATATTATATTGTAAATATATATTAACATAAAAAAAAATACTTTACTATGAAAAGTCAATAAAAATAGAAAGAAAAAAAAAAAGGGCTTTGTCTCAGTGTTTTGATAAAGTTTGGTTTGAATGTGATGCTTTGCTGGTAGTTCAGGCGGTGCTTGGGGTAGCTTGTGGTCCCGTGGAAATTCATCCTATATCCTTTGATGTGCAAAAGCTGCTGGAGCGTTTCTCCTTATCGCTTCTTAGTCATGTCAGACGACATGGCAATGGAGTCACCCATGCTCTTGCTCAGTTATCTCCGACGCACATTACCCGTGATGTTGCTCTTGTTCATATTCCTGTTGCTCTTATGGAGCTGGTTGCTAGGGATTGTCTCCGTTGATTCTGGTGGGGTTCTTGTTTGCTAGGACAAAAATAAAATAAAATAAATATATTACTTTTAAGAATCCAAAAGTAAGGTTGGCCATTTTAAAAATTGATTTAACCATTCTGGCAAAAAACAAAAGTTTGGCAAATAAAAATAGACGGGTGTCATTAAGAACACGGCCAAACTTTAGGGGAGGTGAAAGTAATAAGGCTCAAACACTTTATCTTGTAATTTGTCTAAACTTTAGAAAAGACCATTGTAATTTACCCATATTTTTATTTAAGATGAGTGTGTGTTAGATTAATTGCTCAACTTAAATCCAATCTATTATCCACTTTCATTCATGCACATAAACCAAAAAAGATTAAAAGAAAATCACCTTATTAATCGGCTAGGGACCATGGTCATGATCCCTTTTAATAATTATTAATTATTAATGGCGGGCCTGAAAAAAAGTCTAACACCCCCCTAATTTTATTGATATCTTTTTATTCTTACTTTTGAAAATTCAAATATAGTAAGAGAAAAAAGTAATTTTATTATAGCAGCAATCTTTTTTTCCTTTTTTCTTCTTTGCCATTTCTGGTTGCAATATAAAACCACACAAGATCAAAAGAAATTCCCCTTATTAATCGGCTAGGGGACCATGGTCATGATCCCTTTTCATAATTATTAATTATTAATGGTGGGTTCGAAAAAGTCTTACATTGGCCCCCTAATTTTATTTTATTTTATTTTATTTTACTTATTTATTATTATTATTATTATTATTTTGAAAAAAACTTGTTTATAGGTCCAAACAGGTCCAAGAAAAAGTAATAAATTATCCTCACATCATTAATATAAAACGCCTTACCAAATAGGCCCAAGAAAAAAAATTTGTTTTGTTTTTTCGTTTTTTTTTTCTCCCGGTACTAAGAGAAAGTGTTCTCGCCAAGATCAAGATCAAAGCGTCATGCGGTTTACTGGTGACTTAACCAATTACACAACACCAGTGTCGAGCCAATAGAAGGAGAAAAACTTCTTTGCAACAGACACATCTAACCTTTTATTATCATTACACAGACGGTTTGAATATGGCCGTACAACGGGCGCAGTAAAATTTTTCTCCGATAGAAGAAGCTAATAATACGAATAATAATATCTCTCCTATTCAACTTTGGCCGCGCTAATTTTGAGTTTGTCTTCAAATATACCCTTAACTCCATATACCTTGAAGAAATTGTAATTTAATTCTGAAAACAGCTCTATGATCACGTGTTTTCCAAGGAATTTAAGTTTTGATTGTTGAAGCCAAGAATGCAATACATAGAGCTGCAAAATTTCCCAATTGTCATGCAGCACAACTTTTTAGGAGTGGATTAAGTCACATCTTTGGTGTTGAGGTGTTACTATATATATTTCATTTTTCACTAAAGTATAAAATAAGAACTTCTACAAGAAAACTCATCATTAGTGCTATATATATTCATAACATCATTTTCGCGCCATCATTTTCATGATCTTATCCTAAATTATGTTTCCCTAAGAATCCGATGGCAACTTTGAATTTTTATTAACACAATGATGTTAGGGAGAAAAAAACATATATATTGATTATAAGCGAATTCTTGTTCTAAACCTGTCCTTCATATTTGAAAAAAAAAAAAAAGGAAAAAAATTGCGACTGGTGTCCTAAGAAATCCATTAAGTAGATGATCGTACGAAAGAATCCCAAAATTCCCTCTGTTTTTTTTTTTTTTTTTTTTACTTTAAAAATATAATTTTCAAATAACTAACACGTAAATTAAATGAAATGAAAGTGATTATTTTTTATTTTTCTTTTTCTTCGATCTAAAAATAAACACGAAAATTGATGATAATACTCTTGCCCCAATTACAAAGCATTCGCATAATTGACAATCATGTGCATTCATTTTCTGTAGTGCATCCGTGTGTTCAAAGTCAAAAAGTCATTTTCGATAATTTTAATTATAATTGACAATCACGTGCATTCATTTTCTAGAGCATGTGCGTGTTCAGAGTCAAAAAGTCCTTTTTGATAATTTTAATAAGTAGCAAATGGTGAACAAGTACCAAATTTTAACCCAAAGATTGAAAAAGAAAAGAGACCCCATTTGTACTAAAAATTTGGTTTAACGCACCATGTGGTGTATAACATTTTAGAAAATAATGCATTATTTCTTGAATAAATAAATAACGCAAAAACGAAAAATCTCCACAGAAAAAAAAAAAAAAAAAAAAAATGATATATGTATATATGTCAATGAAAACTAGATTATGGATTAAAGACGTGACAATTTCACCATTTATTTGTCAATTTCATACAAATACTTGTTCTTGAAAAATTTATTAAGTGGTCATAGTTGATAGATACTCGGTAAACCAATTCAATCCAATCATTGTTTAGATTTATTTGTAATATATTAATACACTTTTGTAGAGCTATTTTCTTAATTCCTTAAAACATTCGGGGTGGGAATGAAAGCAGAGTATATTTCTGTAGAGAGAGGATTAGTATGGGTGAAAATTAGAGTACTAAATTAGTGGTTCCCATCTGCTCTTGTCTATTCCATTCTTTATCGTTAGGAAATCACATAGATAATATCTTTCCATTTGCTACAATATTTTAATATTTTATGTGGTACTTTTTGATTCATTTTCTCAATATAAATTTAGCTATTGCCTGTGGATGGCACCACATTTGGATTTAATTTTTTAATTAAATTGATTTATAATTGACATGTCATGATATGATTGGACATAATTGTACCATATTATAGATTTTTCGTGAGTTGGTTGGACCACATTATAGATTTAGTTATAAAAAATTAAAAAAAAAAAAAATCATGTAATTTAATATGTACATATAAATGCTTAACATTTGAAAATATGTGCAATTTATCTCTTGATCTTCCCTTTTGACCAAAATTAATATAAAAATCTCAAAATACCCTTAATAATCATTAATAATATAAATTTAAAACATGTAGGAGTTTTTTTTTTTTTTGAAGGACAACACTTGTGTACTCACTATTGAGTAGATAATCATATTGGTGATCCAATCACAAATTTACATAACTACA